AACAAGTAAAAAAATATAAAAGAACTTCCATATATGGACAGAAAATACCGATATTTGCCTTTGCTCTGCAAAAACAACAACAAATCCACAAGTTACTAAATCTTCCATGCTTCCTATGATAAAACATGTTACCTCTTTAGTTTGCTTGCTTTTATGGTAAAAACAAGCCACAGAGGCCAGAGCCACTGGCAGTGGCAGTGATAGGACTTCTCTCCTTCCTACTCTTTTCACAAATTTAAAAAAAAGATAAAAAAAAAAGTGAATTCCCAGATGCTTCCAGTCAGTGCCTCTGACTATTCAAACAAAATGAATAGGTTGTGTAGTTCCTGAATCAACATAGATCATCTAAACATTTCACTTTAGACTTCATTAATCTTGGATAAATGTCTGCAATAGAGGTTAAAGAATTTTGTATTTACTACTTTTCCCTGGGAATTTTGAAACAAGTGGTTGTGACCCATAGGAATTATCTGTTGGTGCATTACATGGTCAGCAGTCTTCAATGTGTAAATATACTAGTAAAACACACTGCAAAACTTCCAGTAGAAATACAGATGCTATCAAAATGATTAAAATTCTTATAAGGGCTCTTTAAAATAGCACTTCAGAAAAGAATGCTTGACTTCTTAGCAGTGATAGAAAGATCTCTGCAGCAAGAAATTAGCAGAAAGTTCCTGAAGATTGCCATGCATTCCTCCCCCAGAATTTGTCGCAACTGCATAAACCCCTTTGAATCTAACTGGAGAATTTAGGTGCAGTTTTGTTACAACAGTTGAATTTTCAGTGCTGTTGTGTTGTGATTTCTTGCCATGGTGGGGAGGTTGTATGGGAGATGCTGTAGAAGTTCCAAGCAGTATCAATATGGGTGTCCTAGGGCTGGCTAAAAGATTGCCTAGCCAGTGCTGTGCAGTGTGTATTCACCAGCTGTTTCCTACTTTCTCAGTGCACTCATTCTGACAGTCAAGTCTTTGCAATTCCTGCCTCCCCTTCTCTGTCTCTCACCTCAGTTTGATAATCGATTCCCACCCCACCCACCGCTTGACCTGCCTGAAATTGCTTTTTTGGATCTCTTCTATATTTAATTACATCTAATACTCAGACAAAACAATGGAAAGTCCCGTGCTGTAAGGGTAGGAAGGCAAAGCTGTGGATGGCTGTGGTTTGATGTTACGAATAGCTAATGGTACTGGAATGGCGTGAGGTGACTGCTTTAAACGAGGGAGTGAAAGCAAATCGCTAATGATTTGTGTATCCAATCCACTGTTTAGTACGCTAGGGCAGTATGTTGAGAAACTTTGCAAAGTTGCTTTGTGATTATTTTATCTATTAGTAATGTTATCACAGTGATGTTGCAAGAGTGACGACAGTACTGTGAACACAAGCTATTAGAGTTTCTTAAATATTTTGCAGCGGGCTTTGGAAAACATTTCTAATGTTTGCTGCTTTCTGTTGAGAGTTATTTCTAACCTTTTTAGTATTCTCTAAAGAAATTACTGGGAAGATTTATTTTGTGTGCGTTTTGACAGATAGTGGAGCGTATGCTTTCATGCTGAACTTAAATGCTATTTGAAAAATTTTTATGTACTCATTCTAAAGAAAGTTTTGTGAAATATAAGTAGCTCTATGTGCAGAAGGATGTGTTTTCAGTATTTGGAGTATATGGATTTATCAGAGTAAGTTTATCATAGGAAATTTCCTAATGTTAAAAGATTGAGCTATTAGAAAGGTGTTTTATGTCAAACCATCTCTAGAACTTTCAGGATTTGGAGCAGGAAATAAGAAAATAAATAAATAATAAATTGAAAAGCAAAAATACTTTTCCAGTCAGACACATGACTCTTGTTCCTCTGAAGGCTCTGGCAGGTTTGACCAGGTAATAGGCAGAAACACTTTGTGTTTCCGTGGTGAAGTTGTTCAGGGCTTACCTCTTACTTGTGTAAAAATTTATTTCATTGTTTGCATCTAAAGCTGCCGGTGAACTGTTGTCTTCATCTGAACAGAGATGGCCCTCATAGGCACCGATAAAAGTGGATGCTGCAACTGCTCCCCCTCAGCAAAACTTTTTTGTAGCCTAAGAAAGGATTCACTTAGCTGAGGAAAAAAAGCCTTGTGACCATTTGCATTTTTGTCTCCCCTGTTCTTCCTAATAATGACTCAGCACATTTTGCAACTGTTATTATTGGTCAAAGCCTCATGTCTGTCTCTCGGGAACTTGGCAGGCATCTTTCCTACCATCTCATTGATGGGACATGAGAGACTCGTAGTTCAGAATAGAGGCTGTGCTCATAATATGGTATCTCAAAGCTCTCTTAGCTAGCCTGTCAGAATGTAGTGAGTGTACATGTTTAGCTTTTTTTTCTATTTAGATGGAACTACTTTTGCATACTCCCTAAAATTTACAGGTAAATTAATGCAACATAAACGGTATGCATGCAGCAGTTAGAACTCTGCTGCTAATCTACTATTTCCCGTGCCTCCCATGGGTCTAAGGTGCTGGCCACCAGACATCTATGTAGTTAAGCAAGTGACTGGTGCTCTGAAGACTAATGGCGCGATGCAGCTTTTATCAGACAGAGCCATTTGTCTGGCTCAAGTAGTATAATGCACATCTTTTAATAATAAGTTCAGATATGTATAGTGATTTATTTCCTTAGAGCAGCAAGGAGCGCGCACAGCTAACTCACTACTCTTGGCTTCAGGAGAGCAGACTTTGGCCTCTTCAGGGAGCTGCTTGGTAGAGTACCTTGGGATAAAACCCTGGATGGAAGAGGGGCCCATGATAACTGGTTGATATTCAAGGATCACCTCCATCACACCTAGGAGTGATGCATCCCAGCAATGAGCAAGTCAGACAAAAATGCCAGGAGGCCTGCCTGGATGAACAAAGGAGCTTCTGGACAAACACAAACAGGAAGCCTGCAGAGGGTGAAAGAAGGACGGGTAGCCTGGGGGGGAATACAGACAAATTGTCCCAGCAGCCAGGTTGGGAAAGGTAAAGCCCTGATAGGGACATCAAGGGCAATAAGACAAACTTATATGGGTACATCAGTGATAAAAGGAAGAAGTAGGGAAAATGTGGGCCCTCTCCGGAAGGAAATGGGAGACCTGATTACCCAGGACACGAAGGCTGAGGTACTCGGTGACTTTTTTGCTGCAGTCTTCACCAGTAAGTGCTTGCAGCCACATTGCCTAAGTTGCAGAAGGCAAAGGCAGGGACTGGGAGAATGAAGAAGCACCTGCTGCAGGAGGAGATCAGGTTCGAGACCGTCTAAGGAACCTGAAGGTGGACAAGTCCATGGGACCTGATGAAATGCATCCGTGGGTCCTGAGGGAACTGGTGGATGAAGTGGCTAAGCCACTGTTGATCATATTTGAGAAGTTGTGGCAGGCCCGGGGAGTTTCTGCTTACTGGGAAAA